CCAGTTTCTATGGCCAGGCTGTGGTCACTGAGCCTGTACTTCATCAGAGTCTGTTTCTGTTTGCAGTTTCTTTTCATGGTCAAATATTCAGCTAGCGTGTATTGCCTGTGTAGGGTTCTGTAGCGTTCCAGTTTGTGTGTGTGTGTGTGTCCCAGTGTGTGAGATATTGCGGTGTGATCTGTGCTGTGATGTAGTGGCTCAATCTCTCACCCCCTCCTGCCCCTCTGCCCCTCTGCCCCTCCTCTCCAGTTCATTATTTGCAGCTTCCTGTTCTTCCCTCCGGAGCTGAAGCTGTTTAACTACACCTACCCGCCCTGGACCACCGTGCTGGGCTACTGTATCGGGGTCTCCTCCTTCATCTGTGTCCCTGTGTACATGGTGTACCACCTCATCACCACACCCGGGACCTTCAAACAGGTCAGCGCCCCCTGCTGGCAGCCCTCGGAAACACCTGTGCTGACATTCACTATTCACTAGACCTGGAGTCTCTGGCCCGGGAAGGACAGTTAACGGATGCCATTACTGCTGTAGATCAGTCCAGGTTACCATCAGCATCATAGATCCTGTTTGGTGAGCCTTGTCCCAGACACAGGGCACCATTCCCGACATCTGTAATGTTACTTGCATGTGCGCTCAAATTCCCTCAAAGGGCACGTCTGCAATCCAGCCCCATTCTTGCAGAGCATGAGGCCCTGGGCACGAGTCTTGTGATGCACAAGGAGCTCACTAATTTCTCACTGGGCCCCGCCTGGAGCAGTTGCTAACCACTGTGGAGTCCCCAGTCCATCACATCGCTCCCCATAATCAGCAGTGCACAGATGTGTCCTGTCGCAACTCTGTGTTGATAATTCGCAAACAGAGGCACGAAACCACCCCTGCGCCCTTCTCTATCAGAGCAGCCAGCTCATAAACGCTGTGTTTGCCCACAGCCCCATGACAATAATGCCCTGCCGTTCTCACCCAGAGTCTGTTTAACCAGAGTGAGAACTGTTTGTCTAACCCCCTGCAGTCCAGAGCAGAACAAACAAACACAAGACAGAGGGGAAATCCAATCGAAACAGGCTTATTGAATCAGAGGTGACCAGACTCGTGGGGGCTGTGACTGCGCCCGTCTCGCAGGAGACCTGCGTCTGCCGGCCTCAGCCCACCCCGGCTCCCCGC